TCATACATCTCTAAAGCACTGACACTGACAGTTCTTCGTCCCAGACTCCTCAACATTTTGCAGTCTAATTTTCGTAACTTAATTAATATGCTCATTTTAACTTTTAATTTACTGCTGGTTTCTTTGCGTATGTGTAACTATTGATCGTTTCTTTGTAATTTCAATAATTATTCTTGCACATAAAAGGGGACAGTATTTACTTTGCTTCTTAATCATTCTCCCTTCTTCCAGCTGGGCAATCTCTTCTTTGGGCAGCACTGCATTTGCTTACTCCACATGTTCAGCCCTCCCTCCTTTCGTGGTGGGTACAGGCAGGCTGTAGTTGTTTGATACCGCGAATACTGCCTCCTCTTGGACACAACAGTTCATGCCCAGAACCAGCTGTGTACTCAGGCTGAGGTTCTGAATCAGAACTATTGGCAGAAAAGAGCTAATGTTTATACTGGGACAGATGAGAGGCTGAAACCTAAGCCTGGAGCTTCTGACAGTCGCCTTGCTTCCAAGAAAGGAGAGACGGCTTGAGAACTGGGACCACACCAAGAACACAGAGCTGCAAGAGAGGAAGCAACTCCAGGACTTGATGAATTGTGCCTGGATCTTGTTCCTGGCAGCTTAGCGTTGCGAGCCATTCAATTATCTTTTCACTTCAATTGGATTGTCATTTGCAACCAAAGACACCTAATTAATTTAACTTAGAAAATACAGAAAGGTTATATTTGAGATGAGAATGCCTTTTCAAGCGGTGGGAAGGAGCAAAGATGTGGAGAAAATTGAAGAGAGAAGAGAAATGGGGCAAAGAAAGGCAAAGGGGCAATTTAAATTCCATCTATATGCTGATGAGACTCAAATGTGTGTCCATTCCAGATCCCTTGTCTGAACTCCAGACTCTTACATCAAATTACTTATTTCACTTTCTGTTTGGATGGCTCCAAGGAGGCCTATCCACAGCTCTAGAGTCAAACACTGGCTCAGACCCTAGACCTTCCTCTTATTAGCTGTTTGACTTTGACCAAGCTTCTTAAACTCTCTCTCTCATTGCCTTGTTCATTTTTATCCATATCATACCAAGAGTGGCTGCTTCTATTTTATGGAATAATTAAGGGGATTTCAGGAACCAACACCTATAAAATTTTGACAGATACTGGTCTTCTATTATTCATCTCTAAAATGTTAGCCTTTACTCAATGTTCAATATTCTCGTCTTAGTATTTTTGGGTTCCCCTATCATAGTCAGCATTATTCCTCTCAAGTCAATTTAAAGGAGGTGGGAGTGACTGAACAGAACATGCTAAATGCCTCGGATAGCAGGAGAAAGGGGCAAAAACATTCAGTCTTGCTGTGAAGATGGGCATTTTTCAGACATAAAGTCAATCTTATTAGGCTATGGGTAGTTGGTAGAAAAAAAAATCACTAAGGCATAATCAGGATATTGTTCTCATCTAATGCTGTATGAAGAAATCACTTAACTGGTGCCCATTTCTTAAATACTGAGACTTAACAATACCCCAATACATAAGAAATCTCAAATTTATCTCTTAACTTAATACTGGATAGTATGATGATCAGGGAGATAACTTTAAAATGCTTTTTATGGCTGTTTTTAAAAAAGCAGGAAAACAGAAAGGGTGAAGAGAGAATTATAACATAGAAGTTGCTCTTTGAATATAGTGACCATGAAAGGTTTCTGTGGACAACCTTTAAGCAGAATCTGAAAACAAATAAGGTAAACGTATGATTATCTTCAAACAGAGCATTCTGTGAGGACAGATGGATGTATGAGTAGGTTCTATTAAAGTGAGAAGATTAAAGACCATAGCCTGGAGCATGGTGAATAAGAGAGGCAGAAGAGGTCATAAGGCAAGTTGTTCGGGCAAATTATTCAGAGAAATGTCAAGATTATTTTCCCAAAGGTAGGTGAAACACCATGCTATGTCTTTCACCAGAGAGGTGACTATGTCATTCAGACTACTGTAATTGATATTTTTCTCTGCAATATTCATAATGGCTATGATATAAAACCAGATTAGATGTTCATCCATAGATGAAAGGATAAAGAAAATGAGGTATATATGCACAATGGAATTTTACTTAGCCATGAAGAAGAATGAAATAATGGCATGATGGAGAAATAATGGCACTTGGAAGAAAATGGATGGAACTGGAGATCTTTATATCAAGGAAAATAAATCAAGTTCAGAAAGTAAATTTTTCTCATATCCAGAGATTGATTTAGATTTATGCCAGTAAGTTGGCTCAGTGCATAAAGGCATTTGCTACCGAGTTTGACAACCTGAGTTCAATCTCCAGGACCCATGCATCATAAGGAATAAATTGAGCTTCAAAAGTTAGTTGTCCTTTGACCTCTTTACATGTGCTGTGGCACATATGCACTACCTCCCCTCCTCTCTCTTACACATACACAAATAAATAAATAAGTGTAACAAAGAATTTAGATTTGCATACATATATGGAGACACATAGGATTCGAAATAGAAGAGAAATTGTGAGGGGAGAGACTGAGATCTAAAGGAAAGGTGGGGAAAATGGAGAAAGTAAAGAAGAGAAAGAAAGACAACTATTTCAGACTTTTTCCTGTAAGTAGAATCTAGATTTGGTTTTACAAACACACACACAAACACACACACACACACACACACACATCCCAAGAAAGCAGAAATAGACTATTTGGGGGGAAGAAAGAGAAGCAGTGAGATTATGTGTGTATGTATGTTTAGAGAGCGGTGCACGGCTGCGCCTCAAAGATGGCGCCGACGTCCGGCTTCCGCCTTCCCGATGGCAGGTGTTTTCTGAGATAAACAACTCCTTATTTGGCTTGGGCGTGGAATCTGGCTTGCTTGCATATGTCTGACCCTATCGGCATTGTCCACGTGGCACTACGGGGTTGGTTGCCCAGTGGCTATAAAGGGCGTGGGCTGGCTTTCCCAGGAGTCAGAAGATGGCTCTCCCCGGGGTCAGAAGATTGTTCAAGGTTCCTGAATAAACTGCTTGGAGAAGAGCCTGGTGTTGCGTCTTCCTTGCTGGTCGAGGCGGACGCGACATGTATGTGTGTATATATATATATATATGCATGTATGTATGTAAATTAGGAAGCAAGTGATGAATGAGAAGAAGAAAAGTAATTGAACTTCTGTATGTGCAGCATAAATAATGGCAGCTAGAGCAAAGTACAAGTGAATCTAAGGAAGATAATGGTAGCAAAAGAAGTCTTTTTCTACTGCTGTGGTTGGATAGATAAGATGAAAAGCTTTGCCTTTGATCTTCCATCCCCCGATCTGACCTATTAGCAAACTCTGTCAATCAACTTGCAAAATGTATGTTGAATTTATTATAGTTTTAAGCACAGCACCTGGGGAAGGTTTTATTAATCTATCAGCATTGGCTAATGAGACCAACTTTACTTTCCTTCCTTCGCATTTCTGGATTGATTGTTCTAGTTAATCTTCACAGTGACTGTTTTCCAAATAAGTGTACATTGTGATTTAGAGAGGCCTAAAGATTCTCATAATCTAAAATGGTAATAAGTTCATCACTGGTAACCGTAGGTATTACCTATTTCAAATCAAAGCTGTTGGGTTGCTATTAGGATAGCAGAATAAATAAAAAGGATTTTGAGGTGGAAGAATAAGAAAAGAAGGGTTTGATACTTTTCTGAGTATCTTAGTATTTTTAAGACATGATGAGCTTTAATATCTGAATCCATCCCAGATGAACAATGGACCTCTCTTTAAGATTTGAAAAGCATGGAATAACACAGCTCCATCCTCAGCACCAATGACCTCCCAATTCCCTTGATAACTAGTTCACTCTTTCACTATTCCCCAGGACTAATTTTATTTATTTATTTTGAGATAGAATCTCACTTGTAGCTTTATATGATCTAGAACAGGCTGGCCTTTAACTCACAGAGATCTTCCTTCCTTTGCCTCCTGAGTTCTGGAATTAAAGGTGTGTCCCACCTCAGCCTCCTCCAGACTCTAATGTAACAATTGTCCCATCATTGTCAGGCCACTGCACGACTTACTTTTGTGAAGAAATTTGAAGCACTGTGATCTTCAACCTCTCAACTTCTTACCTGTGTATTTCAGCCACATATTGATCATAACATTTCAGTATGAAAGCAACAGCTTTCCCTCACCAAAACCATTTCTCAAACTTTTTTCTAATGACTCTGGGACATTTATCACACATTCACTTCTTTTTCTATGTTAAATTCCTATTTCTTTTTCCCTCTTGACTTATAATCATATTCAATTCTCTATATATCTAAAAGTAAACAGAATTGGCAAAAGCAGTTATCCTTGTATTCCCTTTTTCTCTCTTTTCTTTTTGTGTGTCCTTGTGGGCGTGTGTGTGTGTGTGTGTGTGTGTGTGTGTGTGTGTGTGTGTGTAAAAGTTCCCTTCACATTTTCCCACAGTCTTGAGCAGTCTACCTCTCTCTCCATGCCATTTCTTGAAGAAGTAGACAGATACTGGAGGGGGAATCATCTGTTGGGAATGGGTACTGCAGCAGGTTAGGACTACTGTACACACATAGTCACTGAGGATCCACCTCAACTCACACACCATTGGGGAATGAAGTTCTAACAGAATGTTAACCACTAATGTGTCAAAGGATAGAGATTGATATAGAAGATATTGCCAGATGAGGCAAAAATATACTTATAAACTCCCCTCAAATGACTGTCTGAACCCAAGAACTAGCTATATTAGAAAATCCTAGGAAAACCAACAGAATGGACAGGAATAAGGCCAAAAGACAGAAAGAAGACTGCAGTTGTAATTTTCTGTTGTAGGATATCCTCACATTTAAACTATATTTTGCTATCCAGTTTTCTCTTCACAGTGTTGATTAAATAGCACTGGGTGAGTCTCTTGCACTATATACCACAATCAAATATTTTCCATCAAGCTTCTTCAAATGAAGACAGCTTTCATGGCTCATAGCTGAAGTTTTGGGAATGAGATAAATGAATTCTTACCTTGAAAACAAGTTCTCCTACCAATCCATTCCAAGTCCCATCTTCCTGTGGGCTTCCATATTTGTGGTCCGGTGCAACATAAATTTCATAGTTAAAACCCAGGTAGTTAGATAGGGCATCCAAAACATCAATGGAGAAGCCTTGGTATTTCTTCGGTTTTCCCAAGACATTTTCAGAGACCATTACAAAAGGCTCCTCCTACATGGAAGAAAAACCTTGATGTCAATCAACATTGCTCCCTAAAAACAAGAGTTCATTCTTGAAAGAGTCTAGCTGACAAGGTCTCAATATCATTTCATGCTTTGAAAAAAATTAACTCGGGAATAGGTTTCATACATCATTGATGCATCATGTTATTGAACTGTGCTTAATCACCCAGTGTCTTGTCATCTTTTATTCCACCATTGTCAGATCAAAACTGAGATGAATATAACTAAACTTTCCAAGAGTGTGATTTCTGGTTTCTTGCTGTATGGGGACAACTTAAGATTCATCAACAATGTAATTGATTTTCAAGAAGCTATGGTTTTACTGTCTCAATTAGATATTTTGTCTACCTATGTAAAAATAGATAAAAAAAAAACTGTTAGCACATGCATATCCAAAAATAGCAAATATTCAAAAGGTATATAGTTTATGTAAAATTTAGAATATCACCCACACTAGAAGTTATTTGGCAGGTAGTTTTATTACTTTGATATAAACATATTTCATTACAAAAACAGCTCTGGTACTATGACTACTATTTTTAAAAATTATCTTTTTGATGAACTAATTTAGCAAATTTTGAAAAACTGGTTTCATACCTTATATCTTTCATCTTTTTGCATGATTTTTTAAAAAGTTATTTAATTTGGTACAGTTGACATGTATCCCAGGATGATCTTGAATTTATTATCTTCCTGGTTCACCTCCAAAGTGCTGGGATTAAAGGTATGAGCCATTACTCCCAGGCTTTGAGGTGCTAGGGACTCAACCTATGGCCTTAGGCCTGCTGCAAAAGTACCCTCTCCTAAGTTTCTGCTCTTGCTGAAGCTAACACCTAGGCTGCTTTCGCTTTAGAACAAGTGCTAAGAGTGCAGTTGTTTGGAAATATGTGAGCAGATGACAGAAAATTCAATAGTTCATTACTTGATTTCCTAAACTTTTGCAGAAATAATTCAGACACATTAATATTTAATGACAAATACTTAATATTTACCATTGTTAGTGTTAGTAGTCCATGCAACACTTGGGGCAGACCAAAATCTTTCCTTGGGTGGAAATATTCAAAGATTTCTTCTTTGAATTGTGTTTCCATAGAGACACACAAATTAGCCATCTTTGATATGCACAATAAGATTTTGCTTTTGGCCTTTTTTTGTTTATAAGTGAACACCCTGTAAATTGCTGCCCCTATTTTAGGATACTCTCCATCATCAGCCTCAGTTGTTCTTCCCAAGAATTACCCCGAGAAAAATGTTTTCATTATCAGGGTCAAAAAGCTGCATTTACTGTCAGTGATGTCTTTTAAAATGTTGAAAATAATATAAGCAGCTATTGTGTACCCAGAAAATCAGCACTAACTTTGATGTTCTCGAACAACATGGACACATCAGCATTTGTGCTGGCTTTGCCAACATGGTTTCTGAGATTACCGTGTTTTTCTCCTTTAAGTTTATTTGCTTATTTATTTATTTATTTATTTATTTATTCAACAATATGTTGTCGTTTTGTCTTTTTTTTTTTTCCAGAGCTGAGGACCGAACCCAGGGCCTTGCGCTTGCTAGGCAAGCGCTCTACCACTGAGCTAAATCCCCAACCCCACAATATGTTGTCTTAGTGTCAAATCAATCAGTAAACAGACAGTAAGAGTAAACAACTGTTAAATGTACCCACTAGTTTTCATATAGTTATAACTCTCCCCAACATTTAGTGCTACTAAGAAATAGATGCAATCTGTAGCTCTCTATAATGCTCAGTGAGGCTATATGACTAATTCCAGCTAATGCACTATAAACCATGTGATATGTGCACTAGTTCTTGTTGTCTTTCTTGTAACTTTCTCGCTGAAGTGAACATAAAATGGCTGATGCCCTGGTAATGAATCCACACACCACAGAACAGACAGAGGGCTGTGTCTCTGACACGTGAGCTGTTGTACCAGACTAGGATTGTCTTTCTTGGGTTACATAATGTATTCAAAAAATATATGAATTTCAGTCCTTTTTGTTGAAATACTTTTTTTTTCCAATTATGGTAGTAGTTCATCTTAATGACTAACAATCAATTATTAGACCAATAGATAAAACCTGATAATGAATCATACTTTGTCATATTACTAACTTACTTACTCTTAACGGTATCATAGGATACATGAATGAAAAGTATTAATTTTATCTGCTAATGTTACATGTAAAATACAATTCAATCTTGATAGAAAATTTTGCATATATTTTCAAGTTCTTAAGAAAACTTCCTAGGCCTGTGAAATAGCTCGGTCGGTAATGACACTTGCCACTAAGCCTAATAACCCAAGTTCCACCTTTAGGACACACGTGGTGGAAGGAGGAGGCGACTCCCACGAGTGTTCCTCTGACTTCCTCACTAGTGTTGTGGAGTGTGCACTACCCTCCTCACCACAAAAGAAATAAATACATATAATGAAAATAAAATACAACTTCTGACCAATTGTTAAAGCTTGAACACTTTTTGTTTGGGTTTGGCACAGAACAAAAGACTAGCCAGTGACTTTATTTGGCAAATATTCTGAAGTAGCTAGTAAGGTTGTGAGAAGCAGAAACCAATATAAGAATTGTAAATAAATATCAAATTTACATATATATGTATATATACATATATATATATATATGATCAAAGTCCAATAATTAATAAGGCCTGGCATACCTATATCATGTTTAAAGTGATGCTAAAAAACTGAACTTATTTCATTTACAACTTGTTCAAGTGTAGGTTATGAACATAGAAAAATCATTCATGAAAGACAGTGCCTGACTCTCTTACCAAAACTATTTGGCCCTCAGCATTCTCTGTTTTCAGGGACAGTCTCTAGTCCACAACATAAAAACCATTTAGGTGAAGCAGTAATGTAATCACTAGAAAATGGAATAAATTTTTACATTACTGGGTTCTCAGATTGCGTGAAGTCCTACCTTGAACTTGAGTTAGAGACTTCTAGAGCTAGTACTATCTCCTACCTGTCCCCTTACCAGGTACCTGATCCACCACACAGACCTGGGTCTTTGCTGAGTCTGAACCAGCAGTCTGCATTAGAATTCCAGTAGGAACTCCCAGAGCCAGTCCACTGGCCTGCTTGCCTAACAGCCACTACCCTGCCCCTCTCCCCTGCAGGCTCCAGCCTAGTTAGAGACACGTAGAGCTAGTCCCTCACCCTTGCTTGTCCACCATCTTATCCATGTGCCAACCTGGGACCATGGGAAGCCCCATCCACAACCCCAGTGGCCCAAGGCTTGAAAAATAAGCAACATTCAGCTGATCTAAAAGCTTACAGGTTGGAATAATACCAACCAAAGACATAAACAACTACACACACACACAAAAATGTGAGAATAGATGTCCATACCAAAAAATACCACAAATGGCCTGACTACAGAAGCCTGGATCACACCACAAAACCAAAAACAACAGGAACAACAAAGACAGTGTTTCTTCCAGAAACAAGCACTGCCATGCTAGTTTTCCTGAAAAAAAAAAGTAGTTTAGCTGGTGCACAAAACACTAATTTCAAAATAGCAATTATAAATATACACAAGGAGCTCAAAAAGTATGTGAATAAATGCCTCAATGAAACAAATAAGCCACAGAGTTGAAAGAAATAATAAAAACACTTCAATATATGAAAATGGAGTTCAATAAAAAGATAGATTCTCTGAAGAAAAGCTAGACTGGAGTAAAACTGGAAATGAATGAAAACCTCAAGAATTTAAAAAAAGAAAACCAAGAGGAAAGCAATAGATTGAATTAAGTGGAAGACAGAATGTCAGGTCACAGAGACAAGGTAGAAAAAAAACAGATCAATCAATAAATGAAAATGTTAAATCGACATTGTTAGGAACAACAAATTTAAGAACAGAGCATCCAGGTACTTTGAGACTCTATAACAAAGACTAAACCTACAAATAATAGATATAGATAGAGGAGAAACCCAGATCAAAGGCACTGAAAATATTTCAAGAAACCATTGAAGAAAATTTTGTAAGTCTAAAGAAATAGATGCCCTATCAAAGTGCAAGAAGCATACTGAACTCTAAATAGACAGGACCAGAAAAGAATACCCCAGAACAAATAACAATAAAAACAATAAAAATACAGAACAAGGAACAGATATTGAAATCTGTAAAAATAAGAGGAAGACTAAATGACATACAAAGAGAAGTCCTTCAAAATAACACCTGACTTTTCAATGGAGACTTTAAAAGTCGGAAGGGCCTGGACTGACGTTTTACAAATTCTTTAAGACCACAGGTGTCAGACCATATTGCTATACCCAACAAAACTATCAATTGTTATAGGAAGAGAAAGGAAAACTTTCCATAATAAAAACAATTTTAAGGAATTTATGACACCTCAGACAGCTTGACAGAGAATACTAGGAGATATTTCAGTCTGAAAGAAGACTAAACACACCCAAAATGGCACAGGGAATAACTGACCTCAGTTAGCCAAAAGAGGTCTAAAAAAAAAAAAACACTACAATAACAAAAGAACAAGAATTAATAAGCACCATTTAATAATTACTCTCAGTATTAACGGCCTCATTTTTCCAATAAAAAGAGAATGACATATCAAATTAATTAATAAACAGAGTTCATCTTTTATGCTGCATCCAATAAACACACCTCAACTTGAAGGACAGATTTTTATCTTAGGGTAAAAGAGTAAAAAGGGGATTAGCAAAAAGAAACAAGCAGGTAGAGCTGTTATAATGTTTGAAGCATAGCCTTCAAAACTAGTCAGAAGAGGTAAGAAAAGGTGTGTCAAGCTCATTAAAGGAAAAATTCATCAAGAAGATATTACAAGTTTAAACATTTTCGCAACAAACCCATAGACAACCAATTTTATAAAAGAAATACTATTAGATACAAAGTCACAGGGAAAATGTAAAGATAAATGACATCATAAGTCAAATAGACCGAACAGATTTACAGACCATTCTACTCAAACACTAAAGAATATAC